CGAATCATAACAAATCTATTTAGAAAAACAATTGAAAGATAACAGATGACAGCTTTAGCAAGACAAAAAAAATCATACTTATAACACGATGGGTGTTCTAGGGTCCATGTGGACCCACCACTGGTTTCCTACTTCCTTAGAGCTCTTTCTGATTTCTTGTGAGAATATTATGAGCCAACTAAGGATTACAGATTAGAGAAAGGGAATGACCAAAAACAACAAATAGTGATGGACTACTAGAGAAAAAATTGCCAGATGGGTCCGCGCGGACCCCACAACGTCTACAAAGGGTTAATTGAAATATAAAAATAGATTTTTATTTTTTCGTTTTTCTAAGTTATAGAAAAGGTTCTTGGTTTTTCATTTAGTTAGGAGATAGAAAAAAATTCTTATTTTCTGTTTAGTTGAGATATAGAAATAGATTTCTCTTTTAACTATCGTAATACAGAACATTCTTTTTACTAACATACACGAGATAATAATGGTCACTCGACGCTTCCATCATTCTAACATATAAAATCTTTTTCTTTGCTGATGTTAAGTTAGAAAGAGTATTTAATCATCTTTCATCATAGCAATATAGAAGAATATTTTTTTCCAAATAATTAGTAGTAGGGATAGTGACTTTCTCCTTTGCATCTACTATAATGTAAATAATCATTCTTCCCTGGATAGTACTCTTTCATTTTAGATTGATGAGATTCAAAGACATTTTCCCTTCCTTGAGTTGCCATTAGGTTTCTTTTGCAGTTAGCACATATCAGTTTGAGAAATCCGTCCCTAAACATTTTCGTGAATCCTTCCATATATTTGGATAGAGTATATGAAATGTTCATATACCCAAAAAAAGGCTTAAGATGGATCTCCTAAACCCTTCTTGGGTGTATGAAAGGGTTTATTATTTTCATAAACTCTTATCAGGGTTTCTAAAAATGCAACGAATAATAAACTCTTTAAGGGTTTATGAGCATCAAATACTCTTTCATAAACCCTTAAAGGATTTATTATTCTACGTTTTTTTTACAGTGCATCGGGTCCTACTCAGGTTCGAGTCCAAAAATTTTGTGTCGACCGGGTCCGGGTCCGAAAATTGTTGGACTATAGATTCTACCGGTGGGTCTCATCAAGTTGAATATATGAGTAAGGTGAAAAACGACTTTATGTTTGTTTATTCTATATTCACAGTAAAGACAAAGGACACAAAAATATAAGTACAAAAAGAAAACAAATGATTGTATTCTATGTTGATCTAAGGGCGATAAATAAAATTGAAAGAGATTATCTAGAACAAAATAAATAATTATATTATGCTCTGTTCATTTATATCCTATCCTATTTTCTATAATATATACAAAAGTGCAATTTCTATCCGTTAATCTAAGCATTTGTGAATAATATTTAATAAATTTTGAGAGTAGCAAGCATTTTCTTTTCTTTCTGTGAACACGCGATAACGTACGAACAAGAATATAGAATAGTGATTATGACAATATCGGATAAACGAAAGAAAAAAAATTCATCTATAAATTAATTGATTGGACCATACCTCCACGCTATATTTTTTTCTCGCCGGGTCATCCGTTCATTTTATTCGATGACAACAATAAGTGCAAATGAACAATGAACATATACATATGTATATGTGTATGCATTTAAAGAGAAGCATTAGTCAAAGTTAACATGAATCTGTCAAACGTTGGTCTTCTTGATTTACCTAATGAAATATTATTTATCATTTTAAAGAAACTTGATAATATGGATGTTCTCTATTCATTATTGGATGTTGGTAATCAACGATTGAAAATGATAGTACAAAAAAAAATGTTTACTAAGACTCTCAATCTTGTAGTAACAACATCATTTGATGATATTTTGTCGATTACTGATTCAATACTCGACCGATTCTGCATTAATATATTGCCAAAAATTAATCTCAATGTTAAATCTCTTATACTTGAATCAGGATCTATGGAACGTATTCTTCTTGCTGCCGATTATCCTAATCTAGTTGAACTTAAACTCTTTAATTTCAATGATAAAATCGTTTTACATTATTTTAGAGGTAAAAAAGTTTTATGCTGTTCTGGGCATAGTTTTTAATAGAAATGTCGTAAACACCACAATATTTTATTGTTTTTTTTTATTTAGGTGGATCACCATTTCGTCACATTTTTCAACAACAAATTACAGATGTTATTCTTGTATACAAAAGCGATACCGACGTTTTATTAGAGACACAACGCCATAATGGTGTGCACGGATATATTTTGAGATTCTTCAAAAGTCTAAAATATTTGTCTATTACTGGATTACATTCAGTTTTATCACTTCATAATTCACCTTCGACTATCTGTTCTTCTTCAATTCTTTACAAATTATCTGTTTTTGTGAATAATTTTGGAGATTGCCTTGTTCTACTTGATGGTCGTCTCAAACAGCTAACGACGTTTATTGTTAATATTGGCAACATAGTTTATAATTCATCAGTTGTTTACAATATGGTAAGTTTCTGTATTATTAGATTAATTTTTTTAAATTAAAACAATATTATAGATCACAGTAATATTATAGATTGCTTCCTAATGAATTACTATTCGCTTGAATCAGTTATAATCAAATTGTTGTAAAATTGTGCTGATCTATTCGATGAGTGAATATAGAAAATTTTGTGTCTTATACATTACCGTATATAAATTGTTTTGAAGAAATAAATCGAGTGATTGAATTTCATTTGAATAAACAAACTGTTAACTTTGGATGCCTATTGGATTTAGTCATACTATACTTTTCTCTTGTCAAAAATGATTTTTAAAATATAAGACTCATAATGTTTATGTTCAGGTATTTTTAAGATATTTGATTTTTCGAGAACTGGACAAAAGACCAAACTTATTTCGATCTAATTCTTCTATCATACCTATAAACAATCTTTATTTTCTTTACTTTTATTCATTTACATTGTTTTATAAAAATAGTATACTTGATTTCAAATTCTTGAGTTTTTTCATCAATATCGAATTATCTCTTATGTACTAAAAGTTTAGAAAATTCCATACATTTGTTTTAGTTATCATTGCAAAAGACTATTATTGAGTTGAAGGAATATTTGAAATTGAATTAAATAGAAATATAGCTTTTCGATCAGTTATTCATCTGAACTTTTTGTTTTATAGTCGATAATGATATAGTTAAAAATGTTGATTTGTATTTTCTAGGATGATCTACCTAATTTGAAATGTTTCTCTTTAACGTGTCGTTGCTTTACTGATGAATATGATACTCAAATTCTACCTCTTCTTCGTCGTATGTCAAATCTTGAAGAATTAGCTTTGAGTATTATTAACGAGAATCGAACTACATTTGTCGATGGTACTCAGATTAATAATGAAATTCTTGTTCATATGCCACGGCTTTATAAATTTGATTTTAATATCAATACCAGAACTGCACTGCATCATTTAGTTCATTATTTATCGAGCAATGATATTCAACAAAGTTTTATTAACATAGGATATCAACACGTGGGCTGTATTCTATACATCACTAGTAGTGCTATATGTCATGTTTTTTCACTACCACTCATGTTTGATTATCTCGAATTTATCGGGAACACATTTCCACCGATTATTTTCGATCATGTTACAAGGCTCGTTCTGAACAATATCGTTCCATTCAAACACGAATTTTTCATCCGAATTGCTCGCTCTTTTCCTTTGCTTAAAAGAATAACTCTTATTAATTCTGAATCACAGTCACAAATGTCAAATAATTGGAACTCTAATGATAATCAATTGTATTAAATTGTTGAATATCCTTATGTTCTCTTCGTATCTCGATGTCTCATATTGATTATGTCGAGCAGTTTCTCAATGAAACAAAAACACATCTACCTCATTTAACTAAATTAAAAGTCGATTATGATCAATTAGCAGTCGTAACAAACAACTTCACAAGAGATACAACACGGCTCAATTGTGCTAAAGTGAAACAATTAATTATTGAAGAAACACTAGTGCATTCAAAAGATTTTTACGTTTATTTTCCTCTGTTGTAATCTTGTTTCTGTTTTGATTAGGTTAATAAAATAAAAAATAAAAAGATTTTAATATTAATTAGGTTCCAGTCCAATAAGAGCAAACAATAATTATTAGTCGACATATAGAAGTCAACTGCTACGAGAATATAACTAATTCTCACAAGTAAAAGAGCTAAGCGGAATAAACCATCNTTTTTCAACAAATTACAGATCTTATTATTGTATACAAAGACGATATAAACACTATGTTAATGAGACAATATCCAAAAGGTGTACATGGATATATTTTAAAATTCTTCGAAAATCTAAAACATTTGTCTATTACTGGATTATATTCACTTTTATCACTTCGTAATTTACCTTTAACAACCTGTTCATCTTCAATTCTTTATAAATTATGTATTAATTTGAATTGTTTTGAAGATTGTCTTGCTTTACTTGATGGTCGTCTCAAACAATTGACTACGTTTATTGTTAATATTGATAGTACAGATTATCATTCATCAATTGTTTACAATATAGTAAGTTTTTATATATATTTGATTAATTGTTTTAACTTAAAAAGAATACTATTGATCATAGTAATTAAATAGTTGTAAAATCATGCTGATCTATTCGATGAGCAAATATAGAAAATATTGTCTTATACTTTGCCGCGTATAAGTTGATTTGAAGGCAAATCGAATAATTGAATTTTATTTTAATAATCAAACTATTCACTTTTGATGAATATTGAATTTATCCATGCTGTAGTTTTTCCCTACAAAAAAAAACGATTTTTTTTATAGAATAAGACTGAATGTTTATTTTCTGATATATCTAGTTGTTCGAAAACTGAATAAGAGATCAAACTTATCTCAATTTAACTTTTCTATCATAACTATAAACAATCTTTGCTTTCCTTTTTGGTCCCCTCCCCTCTTTAGTTCTTTTAGTCACTTTCATTTTTTTTATAATAATATACTTGATCTAAATTTTTCGAGTTATCTCATCAGTATCCAATTATCTCTTGTATGTCGAAAGTTTAGAAAATTTCATATAATTCTATTATTCACCATCACAGAAGAATATATATATATATATATATATTGATGTATGTCATTGATTTGAAGAAATATTTCAAAATGAATTAAATAGAAATGTAGCTTTTCAAATTGATATTATTCATTTGAACTTTTTCTTATTTTATAATCGATAATAATATATTAACAAACATTAATTTGTATTTTTTCTAGGATAATTTACCTAATATGAAATGTTTTTCGTTAACATGTCGTTGCCGTAATAATGAATATGATATTAAAATTTTACCTCTTCTTCATCGTATGTCAAATCTTGAGGAATTAACTTTAAATATTATTAATGGAAAACGAAGTACATTTGTAGATGGTACTCAAATTAATAATGAAATTCTTGTTCATATGCCGCGCCTTTATAAATTTATTTTTCATATTAATACCGAAATTAAACTAAATGATTTAGTTCATTATTTATCGAATGATGATATTCAACGAACTTTCACTAATATAAGATATCAACAAGTGTGTTGTATTGTAAACTACTTAACTACTGGTAGAGCCCTATCTCATATTTTTTCATTACCGTTCATGTTTGATTATCTACGAAATATTGGTAATACATTTCCACCTATTGTTTTTAATCATGTTGTAAGCTTGACAGTGTACGATACAGTCCCATTCGAACATGAATTTTTCATTCGAATTGCTCGTTCTTTTCCTATTCTTAAAGAATTGAGTGTTATTAATTTTCAATCACAATTACACATATCAAACGGTCTAAACTTTCACGATAATCAATTGCATTCAATTGTTGAATATCCTCATCTTATTTCACTCATTCTCACGGCTGTTCATATTAATTATGTTGAACAGTTCCTCAATGAAACAAATACGCATCTATCTCGTCTAACTAACTTAGCAATCGATTATGATCAATTAACAATTGTAACAGAAAACTTTACAAGAGATATAACACGATTCAATTGTGCTAAAGTTAAACAATTAACTATCGAAGAATCACGAGTACATTCAAAAGATTTTTATGTTCATTTTCCTCTGTTAGAAAGTTGTTTGTATTCTGATTGAGTAAATAAAATAAATAATGAAAATATTTTTAATGAAATTATTTATAGAATCGAATTAGAATGAGAAATAGTTGTTAGTCGGCATGGTGAAGTTTACTGTTACGACATCTTAATTGATAGTTTTGAGTATGTTTTCAAAGATCGATATTAATTAATTTATCATTTAATTATTTCTCTGATACATTATTTATTATCAACTGATCTCCCAGCTAACATGTATAAAATTCATTGTTAAAAGATAGTGTTGACTAACTTTGATTGTTCTCATTCTTAATATAGGCGTCAGATGTGAGAGGAGATAAATCTTCAAACTCACTCCCTCAAAATAAAACTTGTGTGCCATGAAAGAAAACCAGTAGTCTTCCTTAGGTCCATTATTCTAAAATATTGTGCGCACTCGAGTCATGCAGAATCTACCCATGTGTACCGACGATCATTGGGGAAAAGTTTTGAAAATTCATTAGCATCTGGGAAAATTTTCAAAATTTTAATGATATCTGAGAAAACTTTTTGATATTTTCCCTCAGAGAAAAATTTTCGAAATCAACCTTCGTTTATTTATGCATACATTCGTAAGATTTTCTACTAGTCTATTTTCTTCTCATTAAACTTCTGAAAGAACCATATGTGTCTGTATCGTCTACCTTTGTTTACGTTCATCATGCATATTGCTACCTCCTTCATCTTGTCTCTTTGTGCCTATTCATAATACAATACACATTAGTTTTGTTCTTTTTCTATCCTTCTGTACTTTCCCTAGTAGAATTTCATCACTTGCTGCTTGTCTCTGTTGCTACATACAGTTGCTATTGCGGATGCGTATAGGTACACAAGCACTATGATAACTAATTTATGGCCATTATTAACCGAATTCAACCATTTTTCGTTGGTTCAAGTTCAGTTCAGTTCGGATTTTTGAAAAATCAAGTCGCATTTCTTTAAACTCGACTTCATTTTTGAAAAAGTGGCTCGGTTTTTGTTGTCATAGTCCTCCCTATCACGAATACACGCTAGAGAGAAACTTGGTTCCGGCACAATAAGAGTACGATTTATAGTTCACATCAATGTAAAGGCATACCAATTAATATAGATGTGGATGAAAATAAACTTTTTAGTCTCGGCACTTAATCANATTCTTCGAAAATCTAAAACATTTGTCTATTACTGGATTATATTCACTTTTATCACTTCGTAATTTACCTTTAACAACCTGTTCATCTTCAATTCTTTATAAATTATGTATTAATTTGAATACATTTGAAGATTGTCTTGCTTTACTTGATGGTCGTCTCAAACAATTGACTACGTTTATTGTTAATATTGATGGTACAGATTATCATTCATCAATTGTTTACAATATGGTAAGTTTTTATATATCTTAGATTAATTGTTTTAAATTAAAAAGAATACTATTGATTATAATAATTAAATAGTTGTAAAATTGTGTTAATCTATTTGATGAGGAATTATAGGAAATTTTGTGTCTTATACTTTATCGCGTATGTATTAATTTGAAGAAATAAATCGAATAATTCAATTTTATGTTATATAGTTAATAAAACTATTAACCCTTAATGAATATTGAATTTATTCATGTTCTAGTTTTTTCCTACTAAAAAAAATGAATTTTTAAAGCATAAAAGTGACAATGTTTATTTTTCAAGATATCTAGTTGTCTGAAAACTGGACAAAAGATTAAAACTTATGTCAGTCTAACTTTTTTCATCATAACTATAAACAATCTTTGCTTTTCTTTTTCGTGCTCCCTTTAGTTCTTTTAGTCACTTTCATTTTTTTTTATACTAATATACTTGATCTAAATTTTTCGAATTACCACATCAGTATCTAATTATCTTTTGTATATCGAAAGTTTAGAAAATTTCATATAATTGTCTCAGTCATCATCGCAGAAGAATTTATATATATATATATACCATTGGCTTGAAGAAATATTTGAAAATGAAATAAATAGAAATGTACTTTTTCGATTGGTATTATTCATCTGAATTTCTTATTTTATAATCGATAATAATATTTATTAACAAACATTAATTTGTATTTTTTCTAGGATAATTTACCTAATATGAAATGTTTTTCGTTAACATGTCGTTGCCGTAATAATGAATATGATATTAAAATCTTACCTCTTCTTCGTCGTATGTCAAATCTTGAAGAATTAACTTTGAATATTATTAACTCAAAACGGAATACATTTGTCGATGGTACTCAAATTAATAATGAAATTCTTGTTCATATGCCGCGTCTTTATAAATTTATTTTTCATATTAATACCGAAATTAAACTAAATGATTTAGTTCATTATTTATCGAACGATGATATTCAACGAACTTTCGCTAATATTGGATATGAACAAGTATGTTGTATTGTAAACTACTTAAATATTGATATCGCTATATGTCATGTTTTTTCATTACCGTTCGTGTTTGATTATCTCGAATATATTGGCAACACGTTTCCACCTATTGTTTTTAGTCATGTTGTAAGCTTGACAGTGTACGATACAGTCCCATTCGAACAGGAATTTTTCATTCGAATTGCTCGCTTTTTTCCTTTTCTTAAAGAATTACGTGTCATTAATTTTGAATCACAATTACACATATCAAACGAACTGAATTTTCGTGATAATATATTGCATTCAATTGTTCAATATCCTCATCTTATTTCACTCATTCTCATGACTGTTCATATTGATTATGTGGAGTAGTTTCTCAATGAGACAAAAACGCATCTACCTCGTCTAACTACATTAACAGTTGATTATGATCAATTAACAATTGTAACAAAAAACTTTACAAGAAATATAACACGGCTCAATTGTACCAAAATTAAAGAATTAACTATCGAAGAATCACGAGTACATTCAAAAGATTTTTATGTTTATTTTCCTTTGCTGGAAAGTTGCTTGTGTTTTGATTGAATAAATAAAGTAATTAATGAAAATATTTTTTTAAGTAATTATTTGTGAAATCGAATAAGAGTGAGAAATAGTTGTTAGTCGGTATGGCGAAGTTTACTGTTATGACATCTTAATTGAGAGTTTTGAGTATGTTTTCAAAGATCGATATTAATTAATGTATCATTTAATTATTTCTCTAATACATTATTTATTATCAGCTGATCTTCCAGCTAACATATATAAAATTCATTGTTAAAAGATAGTGTTGATTAACTTTGATTGTTCTCATTCTTAATACGAATATCGGATGTGGCAGAAGACAAATATTCAACATCTACACCTTCACTTGAACTTGTTTTGCAAAAAAGGAAAATTTGTGGTCTCTCTTAAGTCTATTTTGTCTAAAATTTTCGTCCCTACTTTCACAGGGCGTAGCGACAGTTGAGCCTTTTATATATGGTTTTGGCCAAAATTAGTTATAAACTATTTGTACATTGCTCACTACGATTCGATAATACACTATATAACGATATATATAACTTATTAGTTATTTTCCTCGCTTAGTACATCAGCGACCCTTTTCTAAAGGACTAAAAAGAATTCTTAATATTTGATTATCCATAGAATTTATTGATTATTTTGAGGATAATTACATCAGTCGTAAAGGTCGTAACAATCGTCGGCGTTCACCTCGATTTGCAATATCGTTCTGGAGTTGTTTCGATCGTCTTGATTTACAACTTCCACGAACCAATAATCCTCAAGAAGCTTGGCACAATGCCCTTCAAGTAACGTCTTGTTTTGCTGCCAAATCGTCTATTAACTATTTATTTCTATTTTGATGCAGAATTTTTATCATAAACATCCGTCTATATGTCAAACAACATGCTAATCTTATTTTTGCTGAAAAAGCTGAAGTTGGAACTATAAAAATTGTTAAACGTGCTTTATATGAAGAAATAGACGAACAGCTCCAAAATCTAGTTGCTAATTTTAATATATATCCTCGAAAAGAATATTTCAAGAAAGCCAGAGCTTTATTTAATTTTAAAATTTTTATTAATAAATTTTTCATCTTTATAATGTATAAAAGGCTCAACTGTCGTGGCTCAACTGTCCCAGGCTCAACTGTCGCTTCACCCCATCCCATGTAGTCGATTTTCCGAAATAATGTACATTATAATGCATTATTTTGCCATAGAAAGTCAATGAATGCAATGGCATTATAATGCAACCTAAATAATGCATTATAATACATTGATTTTGTAATGCATTGCAATGCATTGAGGTTTTAATACATTATAATGCATTATTTAGGTTGCATTATAATGTAATTGCATCCATTGCTCATTTAATGCATTTTAATGCATTGAAAACTTGACACTTCTTATCGGACGAAAATATTAGCTTAATTTCGGGTATCTCCAATGTATTTAATTGATCTTCATTTCACTAAGCACTTATTAACTTGTTCTGTGACGATCTTACTATAGAATCGCTGTCATCTGCATCCATTTCTTTACCATATGCAATGTGTTGCAAGGATTCGGCAAAGCATTATAACCCGATTACCCATTCGCTTATACTTTTACTTTTATTCTGGATTATACATGAACATCTGTAATGGCTGCCCAAAAAAACCAACCCGTTATTCTATACCCGAAGAATAGACATACTTATAATTACATTACTCCTTAAATAAAAAAACAACGAAAACATTTCGACTGAAGACAAGATTTAGCTAAACTTATTCGTTTTCATTGAAAAGAAAAAAAAGCTTGTTAGCGCAGCCCCTTTGGGGCTGAAATGTGGAACTCACATATCTTCTTTACTTTCACTGTGCTGATGGCAAAATATATAATGTTTAAATTCTCTCAAAGACGATAGTTCTTTTCTAATGATAATTGATTGTCAGCAAATCTTGTTTTTTTTTATTTATATACTTCGAGTAGAATTCTTTTTGTGAAGTTGCTTTGGTCTGTAATGGGTGGTGTCTGTAATGGGTGGTGTCTGTAATGGGTGGTGTCTGTAATGGGTGGTGTCTGTAATGGGGGTATGTCTGTAATGTTCTCTTTCTCCGTTACTATGTGTCTGTAATGGGGTGGGGTGGGAGCCGCCAAACCTCGAACTTAAAACTTACACTCACTATTTTCTTCGAAAACATACGTGAGTTCCACAATAAGTAATTTATTTCGACTCAAAACAAGATTTAACTAAACATATTTGTTTTCATTGAAAAGAAAAAAGATAAGGAAAATGTTTTAATTGAAAACAAGATTTAACTAAGCATATTCCTTTTCATTGAAAGGAAAGACTAATGGAAACATTTAGAGTGAAAACCAAATGGATTTCATGATAACAGTATGTGATGAAGTTTTATGAAGAAACGGTTGAAGTTTATTGTTTTCAAATGACGCAAATAAGATTATATATGATTAAAGAGGCTGTGGAAAAATATCTGCTGTTGCTTGCTTTGAATGAAGTTGAAGAAAAGAACGGCTAGATAGTTTTGAAAATAATGCTATGCTAAAAGAATTTTTTGTCACAGTGATCTGAAAGACAATCATAAGAAAAAGTTAACAGAAAAAATCGAGAAACAATAACTATTGAAAAATATAGTGCATCGACTGAAACATCTTTCTATCGTAATCAACATATGTATATAAAAAGTTCAATAACCTCTTTCGCTAATGCAGACTTCTTTTTCTCGCTCAAGTTCTCTGGGTGTGGGTGTGGGGTGTGAGAGTGGATGTGGGCGTGGGAGTGTGTGGGTGTGGGTGGGTGTGAGTGTGGCTGTGGGTGTGTGGGTGGGTGTGGGTGTGCGTGTGGGGTGTGAATGTGGAGTGTGGGTGTGGGTGT